TACATTTTAATTTAAATTAAAAATTCAAATTAATGAATTAAAGGGGCCTAGTTTCTCACGTGGATTATATCTGCCTTTCCATCTGTTTGCATATTTCTTTGATTCTTGCCATTCCTTCACGTTTCAGTCTTCTCTCTCTCTCTCTCTCCACGAATTCTTTTCCTCTACAACTCAACTTTGGCCAGCATTCAAAGCTGTTTCTCATCCCACTTTAGCACTGATCTCTTGACTTTTCAGATGCAAATTCCATGGCCATAAATTCTTTCTGCGCCCTATTGTTAATGGCCTCTGTTTTAGTTGAAAGGGCCTAGACTTGTATGACTAATAAATTAGTGCATTTCAAGTGTCCTTCTTGCTCGTTGAGATTCCCAAAGTATATATCATACTAGGCTAATTAAATGAGATAAACTCAAATCAAGCGCTTAACAACTATAGACAATATTTGAACACTACGTTTAGTTTATAGATTAAAATCATGTGATTAGAACTATTTTTTATTTACGTGTATTTTTTGTGAGAGAAAACACTGTAGCGAATCATGAACCATGATTCAAATCATGGTTTGAATCCTCCAACCAAACGTAACCTGACCAAACATATTTTTGAGGGGGCGTGAATTACATTAAGAAAAATGTATAGCATTACTCTCTTTTGTCATTTTCTGTAATTATTATTTCACACATGAACTTCACTAACATAATATATTATTATTTAAATAAAAAATAATATAGTATAATTCACGTGTCAAATAATGAATACAGAGAGTGATGTTGGTATTTCTCTTACATTAAAATTTAAAATTGAAATACTAGTTGTATTATCTTCTTTTCAAATATTTGTATATAGGTTCTTTATTATTTGAAATTAACCGATAAATAAAAAATGTATATTAGGATAAAAAGGATAAAAATATAGAAAAAGGAAGGAAAAAAAGAAAGAGAGAGAAAAATAAAAATTAAAAGGAAAAAAAAAACTGACCAACAAGACGTTTTATTAAGAGAATATGATTTAAACAAATTAAGTGGGAGAAGGATAGTTTATAAATAAAAGTAAAGAAAGAAAGGAAGATGGTAAAAAATAATTAAAAAAAAGCAGTGAAAAGCAAAAAAAAAAAAAAGAAATAAAAATAAAACAAAACAATGAAACGGGGCAACGAAATACTCCCGCCCAAAAAAAAAAAAAAACCAAATTCTCTCATAGTTATTAATTATTATTAGGTATGGATTTTACATCTCCAGTGTTAGATACTTAAAAAGTCAAAGCTCAAACTAAAAAAAAAAAAAATCCAATATAAACATTAGAAATTGCAAATTTCAGTGGGGAAGGAAATTAAAGGAGTCCCTTAGGTCGGGGGAAGGGAAGCAGCACACGCCCAAAGTGGCTCCACCATCACCTCCAAATGTCCTTAAAATACAAATACAGGCTGTATTTGGTTAAATATTAATAATATAAGTTTGAACATATCTATATCCTATCCAAATAAAAATATACATATAATTAAAATTAGAGGAAGTTGATTCTATACAGCCGGCTAGATGATTCGACCTCCACGTGGCAAATAGATCCAGCCGGCTATATATAAATGATTAGTTTAACTGAGAAGTTTAAAAAAAAACAAAAAAAACAAAAAAAGAAGAGAAATTTGTTAGACTTATTTTTAAAAGTGTATGGAGGTAGATTTTTACCCTTATTCTTAATTAGTATTCTTTTGTTAATATATGTATTTAATTAAATAAATATTAATCAATAATAAGAGATAAAAATTAAGATTCATACATTTTTAAAAGATATTTATCAAGATTTTGCTTTTAATAAATTTTTAATTTGTGCAATTCTTAGCCGTTGATTGATATTAAAATTAGAGAAAATTGATTCCATCCAATTTTATTTACAAAAGTAACTACCTCTTGATTATTTTTAGCCGTTGATTGTTATTTTAACATTTTAAAATAAAGCCGACCTTAAAATTATAATAAATAAGAACACACACAAAGAACAAAAGTAAAGATGTTAAAATATTTATATATAATATAATTTGCGGGAGGGTTTGCAAGGATGACGAGGCCGGATAGAAATAAGAAGAGAAGGGAAGAGGAGAGTGGCAAGAGGGTGGCTGTTGAGAGAGCCAGGATGGGGTGAGATGAGAAGAGGATTAGGGTTCTTTTTATTATTTTTCTTTTTCTTAATAGTGTATATTAGTTTTTTTTTTTTTTTCTTAAACTGATGTTTCTTTATTTGTTTTCACCGTTTTTTTTGTTTGTAATTTTAAGGTCAAACTCGCATGTTGACTGAAAAAGCATAGATTAGTATATTAAATGTAATTTAATGGTACAACATTTTTTTTCTTTTTGAAGAGAAAGAATACTCGTATTGCTCAAATGACAAAAACACAACATATTTTTCTTCTTATTATTGTATTTTTCCAGCCCGTTGATGTCTATTGTCAGCGAAGCTGTTTGCATGCACAAGCACACTATTTACGTCAATATTATTATTATCTGGGAATATCTTTATGGATAAGTTTTATTTCTTTTTATAAAATAAAAAAAAAATGAATCTTTAGGATAGATGATGCTATTTTGATCCGTTAGTTAAACAAATGCTTTTAACTATCGAATTAATTTTTTTAACACTTAAATCCGTACATATTTGTATTAAAAATTTATATCACCTCATATGTAAAATTATTTATACTTTAGATGTGATTATTTATGAGAACTTTTTACTATAACAAAATTTAAATCAGTAAAATGAATAAATTTTTAGTGTCTGAGTATAAACTGAATCCATTTTCATCCATCACCAACAGATAATGAAACTAAGGGGATGTTTAGTACCTAGATTCGAATCATGGTTCGTGGTTCGCTACAGTATTTTCTTTCATAAAAAATACACGTAAATCGAAAATAATTCTAATCATATGATTCTAATTCATGAATAAACGTCTCCTAATATTACAGTATCGAAAATAAACAGAATAGCTGGTTTCGTAGCTAAAAAACAAACAAACTAGAAGAGTTTAGCAACGCGTCTTGTCACAATCAATACAAATTGGTTGGTATATTGAAGGGTTATCCACATTATACAATCAATACAAATTGGTTGGTATATTGAAGGGTTATCCACATTATTGCACACGTCTGACTATATATATAACATATTTATAGGTTCGAAAGGGAAAAAAAAAAAAAGTCCAGATGTTCCATTTTTTAAGGAAAAAAATTTCCTACGGTAAATCTGTATTTTTTAAGAGTGTTCACGGTTAGCTCAGGCGGTTTTTATTTTTTTTAAAAAAAAAAAACCACCTCTCAAATTAAAAATAATTTCTTTTGAGTGGTTTGATATTTTTAATAAAAATTAAATTGAACTAAATCACTCACAAATGATTTAAGCGGTTTAAGTTTAAGACTAAAAAAACTTTCAATAATTCATAAATATTATAAAATCGTTATTCAATAAAAATAAAAATAAGATCTTAGTTTACAATATAAAAATAATAAATATCTAACAATTCATCATTTAAAGTTTTAATGCAAACTAACAAAAATATGATAGGGTATATTTTATAAGTGTAGAACTTTTATTATGATCAATAAAAATTAAAATAAATACAAAAAATATTTTAAAAATTAAAAAATTATATATGTATGTTTTTGGGTGAATTATTGAACGATTTGAGTGGTTTGGAGAGTCCAAACTACAAAACAAACTGTCTAAAAAAATTAGATTAAAAAACCGATCAAACCGTCCAATAATTAAAAAATAATAAACAATTTAGTGCGGTTTGGTTTGGATGCGTGGGTGACACAAATTTGGCAACATTTTCCTTCAAATTTTAGGAAAAATCCAATTTATGCCCTGTTTGTTTCAACAACTCAAACTATTGGTTAGGACTCAAACCGTAGTTCAAAATTCTAATTGGTGTTTGGGAGAGGAAAATTGAAGGATAATTCAAACCATTAACAATGATTAAAACCTTCATAATGCACCTCCCTTTAAATTCTAATAATCTGAATTGTTTTCGACAGTTGAACATTTTCATATTATACTTTTTATCTCTCTTAAATTTTAATCTTAAAAATGTCATGACTTATTCATTTTAATTTTGATTGAGATGATTTTTTTTAATATGTTCATAACGAAGAGAAGAACAAATCTCTATTCACATTGCATATTTTTTACGGTCATTTATAATGAGGTTTATAAGGTTTATTACAAAATTTTAATGATAATTTTTAACACTTTATTAAAACACAGTTTAAATTTTATTCTCAATTTAAATTATAATTTATGTGCATATTTAAATACCGATTAGAATCACAATTTAAATTATACAATTTTAATAAATAATATTTAAATCTTCACAATTTGAATCGTTATTAATAAGGGCCCGTTTAGTTCGCTGATTCGAGTTTTTAATTCGAGTTGAGATGTGATTTTATTTGAGAGCTTTTTACTGTAGCAAAAAAGTTAAATGTGATTGTTTGTGAGAGTTTTTTACTGTAGCAAAACTTAAATTCTAAACTCGAATCAGCGAAATGAACAGGCCTTAAAACTTTGGAGCAGTCTTCCTCCCATTTGTGTGGACGGTGTTGTAAGTTCGCCACTTGGGGAAAAAAATCAACCAAATGGCCAAACCTCCGATTGATATTTTCCACAACTCAAAAACATTCTAAGCCTCATTTCGTGTTTTCGAGAACCGTAAACCAAATGATCTCATCATTTCCCTCCATCCCTTTCACGCTTCCACACCTCTCGTTGCTCCTCTTGACCCCACCAAAATTCCCCAAATGACAAAGACCACCCCGCATATTCCCTTGTCGACCAAATATTCCGAAGGCTAATTTCGTCATCTCGCTGTCCGACCCCCACAGTGAAAACTATCTAAACCGACGAAAGTAACCCCACCACCTTTCACGACCACCACAGAAACGGAAGGTCAAGATCGTCATTTCCGAACCATAGCTTCTTTATTTTATTTACAAGCTCTTCCGCGAGCTCTCCACTCCAACAATGGCTCTCCGATCGTGCAGTACTCTCTCTCCTCAGTCCGTCAGGTCTCCACCGTCGTTACCCTGCGCCGCGAAGCAGCAGATCGCGCTCCCGTCTTCGTCTTCCTCCAGCTGCTTCGGTTCGAAGAAGAATGTGGTTCTGAGGTTCAGTGGTGGAGCCGGCACAAAGAGGGCTGGGTCCTACAGTCGCAGTGTTAGGTCAAGCTTGGAGACCCTGCGTCCCACCGTCGGGAAGGTCACCGAGGTCAACAAAGACAGCTTCTGGCCGATCGTCAACGCCGCCGGCGATAAGACCGTCGTTCTCGACATGTACACCCAATGGTATGTATCATTCCACAACTCGAGTATTCCTGTTTATGTTCTTAACCTTCTGTTTGAATACCGAGAGAAGTTTTTTCTTTTTGCGTATGTTTGCTGAGAAATTTAAAAGGTACTTTTTTTTTTTTTTATCAATTATCCAATTTTTAGAATGACTTGTGAAAGTAAAGATGCGGCTTTAAGATTCGGCCAAACACTGAAGATAAGATCGTTCACTTTTCAAATATAAAGAAAGAAATCATACTATTTGGTTGAAAGAAAAATGCAATTTTAGAAATTTGGAACCTTTTTTTTTTTTTTTTCAGTTTGGGTATCTTTGTAACATTTAGTTCTAGCTTCGATTGTTGTATAAGATACTGGCAATAGTGGCAATAAAACCAAAGTTAACAAAATGAAGTTCAAAATCTCGATAATTTTAATTTACTATCAATTGGATATACAGTTTTAAGTCGTAATGCTAAAGTATTGCATGTTTTGGAATTACTTTGAGGTTTTTACTCTCAGGTACTATTAGTATTTTGGGCGTAATCACTTTCAGAACTTGAACTTTGTGTGACAAGGCCATTCATTTCGTCGATTTGAGTTTAGAATTCGAGTTTTATTACAGAAAAAAATTCTCAGAAACAGTTACATTTAACTTTTTTACTATAATAAAAAACTCTCATCACATCTCAACTCGAATTAAAACTCAAATCAGCGAACTAAACGGAACATCCAATTTTAGCCACTGAAGTCCACGTCCTCTGTAAAGCTGAAATCAGAGGTTTATTATTAAACTCTGATCATATATCATTGCTTTCATCATTGAAGATGATGTAGTACTCTAGGCTTTGGCCAATGTTTTGGGAACGTATTAGAATCCGCTCAATATAATGTGGGGAAAGTTTATTTTTGGGGAAAATTACTGGCGCTTTTCCATCAATTTCTTTGCCCGTCGAGTTCGAGATGACTTTCGATTGACTTATGGTTCTTTCTCTAACCCTGCAGGTGTGGCCCTTGCAAGGTGATAGCCCCCAAATTTCAGGAACTGTCAGAAAAGTATCTTGATGTTGTCTTCCTAAAGCTGGATTGTAATCAAGATAACAAGGTTTGCTGTATATGAATATTGAATAATTCGATTCCACGCACTCATTTTTGGCATATTTTTGTGCTTATACACACTTGCAAAGAGAGCAAACAAAGTTTTAAGATGTTCCAACTCTTTTCTTTTGGTTTGATCTTTGTTTATAGGCTCTGGCGAAAGAGCTTGGGATTAGGGTTGTTCCAACTTTCAAGATTTTGAAGGACAGCAAGATTGTGAAAGAAGTTACTGGGGCCAAATTTGACGACTTAGTTGTTGCTATAGATACAGTCAGATCAAGCTGAAGCCTCTCTTGTTTTACTTGTAAAATGTTAATAATATAGTGAAGACATTCACTTCAAACTAATCATTGTACTTGTATGTATTTATGGACCTTTTGAACATATTTACATCTCTTCTTCAAAAAGAGTACCACCACTTAATCACCTACTAGTAATGCATCATCACGTGTGTTAGTAAAGATAGAACTATCACGTGTCAAAGAGTAAAAAACATTGGCCGTGTTTAGAATTGATCCCGTTTTTAATTTTTCACGTTTTTCAATAAAAAATGAAAATATTTTTAAAACGGCGGTTGGCGCAATAAAGACAAAAAACATAAATGAAAATTATTTTTTAGTTTAGTGTAAAATGAGAGAGAAATGAAAAACGACTTTTAGTCATTTTTCATTTTTTGTTTTCGTTTTATCTTCTCTTGAGCAAAGAGAGAGAAAGAGATACTAATGAGTTTTTTACACTGAAAATAATTTCTTGATAAAATTACCAAACGCATTTTTAAAAATGATTTATGTTTGAGATTAAAAATGTTTTTATTTTCATTTTCATATAAAAAATAAAATTATTTTAAAATGAGTTCTAAACAGGTCAATTGTGTTCGAGTTTGCCGGGGGTTAGTTTTGATATAGTGTCGTGTGTGGGATGAATTTGGTGATTACATCATAAATGGTGATAAATGGTGATAAATGGTGATAAATATTAGTGATAAATGACGATCATGATTTTCTCGTTTCTCTTGGTTATCTAATTTTTTTATTCTCTTAAAAGAAAGGAAGTACTTTTTAGTGCAAATCATACCTCGTGGCTCATCAGACAGGACAGCACCATTTTGCAACAGCTTGTTACAATTGAAGCATGGCATGGTTCATACTTTGCTTATAAAGATGTCTTGGGTCCTACTTGATTCAAATTCTATATGCAAAAGACAAAGATTTGATTTTTTACATGTGCAAAAGTTCACAGAGAATATTCGCCAACATGGTTAGATCTAAAGAATGAGTAAAAAAAAAAAAAAAAAAAAAAAAAAAAAAAAAAAACAGACGATGAACAAGAACAATTTCCAAGAAAGATATCATCAGATCTGGGAATCATCAGGGACCAGAACTAGAAGGTTATGAAAGTCATTCAAGATGTCACCTGTACAATATAAAACTGTTTCATCAAACACAAAATTCGAAAGTATTAAAAAAGTGACATAATTATGATACAATTATTGGTTGTTATAATAATGAGAAAAAAGCATTGAGATGTACTAAGCATTGCTCAAAAGAAAAACATAAAAAAAAAGGCTTAAGTAAAATGTGTAAAATAAACATGCTTAATTAATAAGATTTGCAATCTTATATTCCCTTCAAGAAAAGATTTCCAATCTTATTTTCCTGAAAAAAAGGAGAGATTTCCAATCCAATCTCAATACACTGATAGCTCTAGCCAATCATATAACGCCACTAAATCAAAACTGACGCAACTGAAAAAGACAAAACTACTACTAGATTTTTTTTTATTTTTTTGGTTCATTTTACCGATTTGAGTTTAGAATTTATATTTAACTATACTAAAAAATTGAGTCTCATTCATTTCGCTGATTTGAGTTTAGAATTTGAGTTTTACTATAGTAAAAAGCTCTCACAAACAGTCACATCTAATTTTTTTATTACAGTAAAAAACTCTCATATAAAATCACATATCAACTTAAATTAAAAACTCAAATCAACAAACTAAACAGACCCTAAAAAATAATTACATCTAACTCAAATTAAAAACTAAAATCAACGAACTAAACGGATGTCACCCACTAACACCCGTAGCTCTTTCCTAGTCTACCCAATCACCCAATCGCCAAGTGCCAATTGAGCAAAACTTACGCCTCCCGAAGAGACCAAAATACCCTTACTCCCTTACAAAACAACAACCGCACCATAATCATTTTCCGTAATTGTCAGTCAATTTTGCAGATCCCAAACAAACGATAAAAAACTTTTTATTTTTGTTTAAATAAAAAAAAAAAGAAAAAAAGAAAAAAAGGTCAAAGGTCAAATTTCTCCGGCTTCTTCCCTCTCCGTCTTTAAATTAAACCCAGAGGCTTTAGAAGAAGAAGAAGAAGAAATAAAGGAGAGAGGAAAATCGAAAGGAAAATGTGTGGGATTTTCGCGTACTTGAATTACAACGTGAACAGAGAGAGGCGATACATTCTTCAAGTTCTGTTCAATGGCCTGAGGCGATTGGAGTATCGGGGCTATGATTCCTCTGGGATTTCCATTGACGATTCCTCCGATCCAAACACTCCTCAACCGTCGTCTTCCAGCTCTGTCTCTGTTCCGCTCGTTTTTCGCCAGGAGGGAAACATCGAATCCCTCGTCAAATCAGTCTACCAAGGTGATATTCCCTCTTGATCGTATGTTTGTTTGTGTTGAATTTTCCTTCGGGATCTTACATTCTGTTTGGTTCCCGGGAAAACGGTGGAAAAAAGTTTTCTTTTTCTTTCTTTCTTAGTAGAGGGGGAGAAAGTGGTTTCGACGCTAGCAAATTTTTCTTTAATTGAATATAAGTTTCGGGTTGACCGGAAATCTTTGCGTTCTTGTCAGGGGAAATTTGCTTAGCTCCAACGGTAAAAGAGGAAGAAAGATTAACAATTTTAATTTCTTTAACAATGTTAACTTCTTCCATTAGTTTCATAATCTCTCATCCATGGCGCAACTGAGTCCTGTACTAAGAAATTGCTGGAATAATTTTTGGGAAATTGATAATTTGCAGATGTTATGCTGACAAAATTCACCTGCATTTTTGGATGATTATGTTTTGACTTTATATATATATATATATATATTTTTTTTTTTTTTGTCAATCAATTTTTTGGCGCATGGGCGATAGCGAGTTGCATTGCAAGTTCCTAAAAACATGTGATTTGTCAGCATGGTTGTACTTAAGAAGACACGGTGATGTTGGTTATTTGCAGAGGTTGATGAAAAGGAAATTAATTTGGAGGAGTCTTTTTCTATACATGCCGGAATAGCGCACACCCGTTGGGCCACTCATGGGGAGCCAGCCCCAAGAAATAGCCATCCCCAGACTTCCGGTCCTGGAAATGAATTCTTGGTTGTTCACAATGGAATTATCACTAATTATGAGGTTTGCTTCACATTTGAGTAGAAATTTGTTCTTCTTTTCCTTCATCGATCTCTTTGGTATTGTTTTGAACTTGATTATCAATTGGGTTTGCTGAGGTACTTCTCTGATCTCTCTTGAATTCAGGTCCTAAAGGAAACACTAGTTCGACATGGGTTCACATTTGAATCTGAAACAGACACTGAAATAATTCCAAAACTTGCTAAATATGTCTTTGACAAGGCAAAGGAAGAAGGTAGTTCTTTTTTATAGCAATGCCTTAAAAGATGTTTCTTTTGTATGTGTAATTTACTACAGGAGTTCTCTTACTACTAATGTCTGAAAGATTTGTTCATTCGCACTTCACATCATCTTTATCACCTGATTATTCTTTTCTTTTCCATTTCATAGAAAGAAATGAAGTTCGATTGAAAATATTTTATTAGCTAAGAGCGTCAATTTTTTGTGTCACAGCTGACCAGACTGTCACATTTAGTCAAGTTGTGCTTGAAGTTATGAGGCATCTTGAAGGAGCCTATGCACTTATTTTCAAAAGCCGGCATTATCCAAATGAGTTGATTGCTTGCAAACGTGGCAGTCCATTGCTTCTTGGTGTTAAAGTAAGTTAAAAACAAGTATATGGATGGATATGCAGTCCATTGATTCTTGTTCTGTAACTAGTGTTCTGCTCATTACTATTCTAGCTCAAGTTTTTCCAATGCTGCATGTATTCTATATTTTCTTATTCACTTACTGACCCGATTGTTTATCATAGTTACTTATTCACTATTAGGGCAAGACAAGATCTGTTGTTCATTAAGAAACCTCCTATCTCCGATTGTTTATCATAATTACCTATTCACTACCAGGGCAAGACAAGATCTGTTCTTCATTAAGAAACCTCCTATGTTTCCCATGTAGGCAAACATATGGTAAAGCCAAAATCCAAGAAAGAAAACAAAAATAAGACACGAAAAAGAGTTTGTCCAGCTTTTCTCTTAGGTCTTGATTACGTGCTCTTGCCAAATTTAACACAACTTATAAGCATGTGCTGAGTATTTTAGCTTTTACCATTTAGACGTGCTGGAGTTCGACACTTTTGAATTCTTATACATATTATTTGAGCTTCTCTATTATTTTTCTGTCATTTTGGGTATGATTGACTTTGTGGTGCATTGCAGGAACTTACAGAAGATGTAACCAATGGATCCGCATTTCATAATGATAACTTCCTTTCAAAGAAGGGACATCCTAAAGAACTCTTCTTATCTAGTGATGCCAATGCTGTAGTTGAGCACACAAAAAAGGTTTTGGTTATTGAGGATGGTGAAGTGGTTCATCTCAAGGTATTTAAACCCCACTGGGTTTTCTTTTATCGCAGAACTGTACAACTTACTGTTATTGAGAAATTTGCATGATAAAGGGAACAAATCTAATCTATGTGTTGGAATGGGTGCTGTGCATTTTTTTCTTAATCATCTGTAGTTTTGAGATCCTTTTCGCTTTTTTTGATTTATATACATAGACATTACTCAAACATTTTGACGTGGGCACTTGGTTGTTAACTATAATGGAAATGCTATTTATTCCTAGGCTAACCCATTATTGATGCCCATAGTGAGGTGGATTTGGCATTGCTTTATATCCTTGAGGTGTTTATTCACAAATGTCGAGTTTTTTATTATGTATGATGGCGGCATTTTCAGGATGGAGCTGTGTCAATCCTAAAGTTCGATAAAGACAAGGGAAAGCATGGCGGTGCCCTTTCAAGAGTTGCATCCGTTCAACGTGCATTGTCCATTCTTGAGATGGAGGTTGAGCAAATCAACAAAGGAAAATATGAACATTATATGCAGAAAGAAATTCATGAACAACCAGAATCTCTTACGACCACAATGAGGGGGAGGCTCATACGTAGAGGTTCCTGTAAATCCAAGACTGTCCTTCTTGGTGGTCTGAAGGATCATTTTAAAACAATCAGGCGAAGCCGACGGATTCTTTTTATCGGTTGTGGAACAAGCTACAATGCTGCTTTAGCTGCTAGACCCATCTTGGAAGAACTTTCCGGTGAGTACTTTCTGCCGTTTTTGAATGGTTTTGCTGATTGTAGATCAGAAGTACTAATTCTCCTTGTTTAAATCATGCGAACCATGTAGGTCTCCCTGTTACCATGGAAATCGCTAGTGACTTATTGGATCGGCAGGGTCCGATATACCGAGAAGATACAGCTGTCTTTGTCAGTCAATCTGGTGAAACAGCAGATACTCTGCAGGCATTGGACTATGCTTTGGAAAACGGCGCCTTATGTGTTGGCATCACAAATACTGTTGGTAGTGCAATAGCCAGGAATACACACTGTGGTGTGCATATTAATGCTGGTTGTGAGATTGGTGTTGCTAGTACTAAGGTAAAAAATTGAAGAAACAGTGTCTTTGTTTTGGTCACTTTTTTACTTGTTTAATCATTTATTACTATACTATCATCATTAGGCATACACAAGTCAAATAGTTGCGATGGCAATGTTAGCACTAGCAATAGGCGGTGACACAATTTCAAATCAAGCAAGAAGAGATGCTATAATAGATGGTCTATATGACTTGCCAAGTAAGTTGTCATGACTTTATCTGCAATCTAGTCAAATCTTGTCCTGTTTTTGAACAAGTGGCTTGCTGAGAAAGTTTAAACAACAATACCCTATTTTGTAATTTACGTTTCTGCAGACAAAGTCAGGGAGGTCCTGAAGCTTGACCAGGAGATGAAAGATCTTGCACAACTATTAATTGCCGAGCAGTCGCTTCTTGTTTTTGGGAGAGGATACAACTACGCAACAGCCCTGGAGGGTGCTTTGAAAGTAAAGGAAGTGGCACTTATGCATAGTGAAGGAATACTCGCCGGCGAAATGAAACATGGCCCTTTGGCTTTGGTTGATGAAAATCTCCCTATTGTTGTCATAGCTACCCGTGACTCTTGCTTCAGGTTGGTTCTCTTATATTTAGGCACAGTAATATGGTTTGAACTCTGAAGTTACCTAGTTTGTTACTGACAACTACACTCTGGTCACTGACAGCAAGCAACAGTCGGTCATTCAGCAACTTCATGCTCGCAAAGGCCGCTTGATAGTGATGTGTTCACAAGGAGATGCTGCATCCGTGAGCCTTGGTGGATCTTGTCGAGTAATTGAAGTTCCGCTGGTCGAGGATTGTCTTCAACCGGTAGTTAATATAGTTCCATTACAGGTACTACCACTTATCCACTTATGGCATCCTTGTGTTGTACCCTTCATTGTGTTGTCTATATTTTTTTTTATCGAACAACACAAAGATGGTAGAAAAAGAAGAAAGTAAAAGGACCTTAAGATTATGAATCCATCTTGAAGTGTACAGTTTTCTTGACCTCTCTCTCTTCATCTTTGCTGCAGTTGTTGGCATATCATCTTACCGTCTTGAGAGGTTTCAACGTCGATCAGCCCCGCAATCTTGCTAAGAGTGTTACGACGCAATAGAGAAGAAGTTTCATGGGCAAAAGGAAAACTGATCTGACTCTCATAAATTACAAAGCTCCACCTTCGGATGGTGGCTTTTTTCACTTGGTAATGTTGCTTTAAACATTATTATGCTGAAGATTGTACCTCACTCCCAACTCTTGATTCTTGACCTTTTGAGCCACTGTATATTATCTTAGGCACATTACTAACCCTCTGTTTCTCCTCCTCTTCAGACTGAGGCTATGGACCTATGGTATAATATGTATTGTGTTTGATTATATGATTATTATTTTTACACTCGATCTATTTGAAAATGGCAACGTTCCTTTCTTTTTCTTTTTTTTTTTTAAATTTAAATAAATGAATAGAATGATTCAATATTATTTTTCTTTTATTTTTTGAGAGAAAATGACAACGCATTTTAAGAATAAAGTGGGAGGCAATCTTTTTTTTTTTTTTTTTTTTTTTTTTGAAAAGCATACAACACCTTAAAATATTTATCTCCAAAAGAAATTTATTATAATAAAAAATATAAGAAATTATCAGCTTTCGAAAAAAAGAGAAAAAATTACGGTGCATGGAAACTATCTTCACATATTTGAATGCGAGTTGGATGAATATATTTTGATGCGAGTAGGATTAGGATTCCTAAGATTAACTAATCTGGTGACACATGCCTTGTGCCTATAAATAAATGAGCCTTTCTCTCAATATTGTGTGTGAGCGTTTAATTTTGTGATACTATTTTCTTTTGCATGATTTTATAATTTTGGGCTACAGGAGTTGGAGATAAGTTATATTTTGTTATATTTTGGGAGAAAATTATTAAACTTATCCTTAGAGTGAATGAATTTAGATTTTTATCCTTTATTTTTGGTTGATACTCTTTTGACAAATATATAGTTATTTGACTAAAAAGAATATCAATCAAAAGTAAAGAGTAAAAATTTATAGTGGTGTATCTAAGAAGTATTTATCCCTTTCCACTTATTTTAATATCATTACTTTTTTTTTTTTTTCGGTTTAGTCTCATTACTTCATATTTTGCAACATATTTGCTGTTAAAAAAAAAATACAACATATTTGTAGGCGGTTTGGTTGTTCTTAAACCTATTCACATGGTAATTTAGATTTGAAGATATGAACCTAGGACTTACGTGGACAGATAAGGTACGATATAACCAAATAAAAAAAAATTACGTAGTGATTTCTTTTTTTCGGTTAATGACTAGTTGCTTTATTTTTTAATTAGCCCATATTTTAAAAAAAAAAGAAAAAAATTTTGAATTTGTTTATTATGATAAAATTGGGCGACTTTAAATTTAGACAGAAGGACTTACATGGTCAAAAAAGATTCGTTTAACAAAATAAGATTGACGTGGTGATTTTTTTTTCTTTCTTTGGCTAATGGATGCTTTATTTTTTTAATTGCAATATTATTTTCTAGAAAATTCAGAAAAAAGAAAAGAAAAAATATATATACCCCATAAAGTTAACTCTGTTAAATTTTTTAACAGAATTGCTTATAAACACCCCTTTAATTTTGTCACTTATGTCAATATGCTCCATAAACTTTAAAATATACCAGTTTTACTTTTTAAACTATGACATGTCTCTAACTTTTCTCACTCCATCTTGATTCTATCAGTTTTTTAAACGAAAATATTGATACGACAATTAAATTATTAATTTATCTTTGATATTTGACCATCTAAGTCTGTTAAGTTAATGAGTTTCTTAATGGTAGAAAAAGAAGAAAGTAAAAGGACCTTAAGATTATGAATCCATCTTGAAGTGTACAGTTTTCTTGACCTCTCTCTCTTCATCTTTGCTGCAGTTGTTGGCATATCATCTTACCGTCTTGAGAGGTTTCAACGTCGATCAGCCCCGCAATCTTGCTAAGAGTGTTACGACGCAATAGAGAAGAAGTTTCATGGGCAAAAGGAAAACTGATCTGACTCTCATAAATTACAAAGCTCCACCTTCGGATGGTGGCTTTTTTCACTTGGTAATGTTGCTTTAAACATTATTATGCTGAAGATTGTACCTCACTCCCAACTCTTGATTCTTGACCTTTTGAGCCACTGTATATTATCTTAGGCACATTACTAACCCTCTGTTTCTCCTCCTCTTCAGACTGAGGCTATGGACCTATGGTATAATATGTATTGTGTTTGATTATATGATTATTATTTTTACACTCGATCTATTTGAAAATGGCAACGTTCCTTTCTTTTTCTTTTTTTTTTTTAAATTTAAATAAATGAATAGAATGATTCAATATTATTTTTCTTTTATTTTTTGAGAGAAAATGACAACGCATTTTAAGAATAAAGTGGGAGGCAATCTTTTTGAAAAGCATACAACACCTTAAAATATTTATCTCCAAAAGAAATTTATTATAATAAAAAATATAAGAAATTATCAGCTTTCGAAAAAAAGAGAAAAAATTACGGTGCATGGAAACTATCTTCACATATTTGAATGCGAGTTGGATGAATATATTTTGATGCGAGTAGGATTAGGATTCCTAAGATTAACTAATCTGGTGACACATGCCTTGTGCCTATAAATAAATGAGCCTTTCTCTCAATATTGTGTGTGAGCGTTTAATTTTGTGATACTATTTTCTTTTGCATGATTTTATAATTTTGGGCTACAGGAGTTGGAGATAAGTTATATTTTGTTATATTTTGGGAGAAAATTATTAAACTTATCCTTAGAGTGAATGAATTTAGATTTTTATCCTTTATTTTTGGTTGATACTCTTTTGACAAATATATAGTTATTTGACTAAAAAGAATATCAATCAAAAGTAAAGAGTAAAAATTTATAGTGGTGTATCTAAGAAGTATTTATCCCTTTCCACTTATTTTAATATCATTACTTTTTTTTTTTTTTCGGTTTAGTCTCATTACTTCATATTTTGCAACATATTTGCTGTTAAAAAAAAAATACAACATATTTGTAGGCGGTTTGGTTGTTCTTAAACCTATTCACATGGTAATTTAGATTTGAAGATATGAACCTAGGACTTACGTGGACAGATAAGGTACGATATAACCAAATAAAAAAAAATTACGTAGTGATTTCTTTTTTTCGGTTAATGACTAGTTGCTTTATTTTTTAATTAGCCCATATTTTAAAAAAAAAAGAAAAAAATTTTGAATTTGTTTATTATGATAAAATTGGGCGACTTTAAATTTAGACAGAAGGACTTACATGGTCAAAAAAGATTCGTTTAACAAAATAAGATTGACGTGGTGATTTTTTTTTCTTTCTTTGGCTAATGGATGCTTTATTTTTTTAATTGCAATATTATTTTCTAGAAAATTCAGAAAAAAGAAAAGAAAAAATATATATACCCCATAAAGTTAACTCTGTTAAATTTTTTAACAGAATTGCTTATAAACACCCCTTTAATTTTGTCACTTATGTCAATATGCTCCATAAACTTTAAAATATACCAGTTTTACTTTTTAAACTATGACATGTCTCTAACTTTTCTCACTCCATCTTGATTCTATCAGTTTTTTAAACGAAAATATTGATACGACAATTAAATTATTAATTTATCTTTGATATTTGACCATCTAAGTCTGTTAAGTTAATGAGTTTCTTAAGGTTTGTGTTGATTTTTTTTAAAAGGTAAACGTATTTAGATTTAAAAATGTTATATATGTATAAAGCATAAACGTGTTTTACGTCAAGCACTTTTATCTAGGTGAAATATTAAGAAAAAAAATTAACAAAATTCATTACATTATGCAAATTTGCTCCTCATTTTTTCCCTTTTTATTGTCTCTAATCAACTAATGTTTTGAAAATTGGTGTTTAGCCAATATTTTTAGAGGAGAAGATATTCAATAAATCTCAAATATCATAGATAATTAACAATTTAATGGTCATATCAATATTTTCGTTTAAAAAATTGATAGAATCAATATGGATGGAGAAAAATTGGAGACATCATAGTTCGAGGGCAAAACGTGTATATTTTAAAGTTTAGAGAGCATATTGACACGAGTGACAAAGTTCATAGGGCATTTATAAGCATTTCCGTTAAAAAACTTAACGGAGTTAATCTCAGGAGGCATGTTGACACAAGTGACAACGCTCAGAAGGCACAATATGTACATTTTAAAATTCAAGATGCATGTTGACTTTAGTGACAAAGTTCATGAAAAATTTAGAAAATTTGTCCTAAACTCTAATGAGGAATCATGTGTTTTCCACAGGCCCAAGATAAATACTAGGATGTAAACAACATTAGAGTTTACAAATGAAAAAAAGGAGGGAAAAATCCTTAAAATGCATAAGCCTTGAATTTTTATCATTTACACTTAATTAATATTCTTTAGTTAAAGAATTATATTAGTCAAAAATATATTAATCAATAGTAAATAAATAAAATCTTAGAACAATGCATTTAAAGAGTGAGTATTAATTTTCTCTTTACAAAATACTAGGATGTAAACGAAATTGCAGTCTCACAGTGCAATCAGATATTATGGATGACAAATATGGAGCTTCCAATTATGATTATTTCATTTTGTGAGTCTTAATAGAGAGTTAAGGGAGCGACCCTCCAACTACACCTAAGGTCTTAAATGTATTGTTTCATAAGGTTATTATTTAATGGAGATTGGTACGATAGTCTCTTGATGGAGCTTGCATGATGCCGTAAATAACAATTATTGCATATTAAATAGAGGTATAAAAATAAATTATGTTGGCAAACAGGTCATAACACAATTAAAATGTGTTGAGAAAAATGCATGTGTGTGTTGTCCCACATAGAAAGTGAATGAAAATGTGAAGTGGTTTATATATATAGGATGACCCAAGATCTGATAGGTTAACATTTTAGGTCAAGTTAGACTCTTAAAGTGTGTTGGGCTAATTTCACATGTGGCGTATCTCCAACAAAATATACTTTATTTCTCCACGTAAGCCCTCAGTTCCTTCTCTCCAAATCTAGAATCACCATGTCAACAGATTCAAGAATAACCAAATGACTTACAAATACGTATAATATGAAGTAATGAGACTAAACTGAAAAGAAAAAGAAAGAAAAAAAAATAATGACTTATCTCGTCTCTGCCTCCTCCCGTAAGCCGGATATAGCTGTAGTTATTCTTTGAGTTTGTTGAGAAGGACTCTTTCTTGAACATGTTGATCCTTAGAATCATTATAAAGGTTGTTCAAGGATCAATATCCTCAAGAAAAAACCATTCTCAATAAAACTGAAAGAATAATTTGAGCTTATTTTCTTTGTGTTGGTATTCTAAGATGTGAATATATAATTAAAAAT